GAAGGGATGGCGCTTCCCATCCCCCCGAGGCTCACCATCCTGGGGACAAAAATCCAGTTATCAAAGATGCGTCACCCGCAACCCACGGGGCCCCTCGTGACAACAGGGGCTCTGGAAACCGTCAGGGAAGATTGAAGAAGAGCAGTGCGCCCGGCGTGGCTGCAATCTTGGAGCGTGCGTCCCCCCCACCCCGCCCCCGTCGGGAGCCACCACAGATAAAGCATCAGCTCATTCAATTAGGCCGAGGAAAATGGAAAATAGCTCAGACTCGCAGCCGAAATATTTCATGTCTTAGCAAACACTGCGCCCCGTTAAAAGGGGGCCAGGGGTCTGCTCTGTCTGCCAATAAAGGTAATTTAGGGAGGGCCCGGGACGCGGGCGCGGGAGATAAGCGTGAAGGCGTGTTTCCACCACGGATGAGTTCACGGATGACGCCCGCAGCCGGGCGGGGGGGGGGGGGTCGGCGCGCAATCACAGCACTAACGAAGAGTGAGACGTCCCAGGACATGGGGGATGACAAGCCTCGTCCCTGGCTTCCCCGGTAATAGGTAATGAGCCACCGATAATGCAATCGGAGGCCAGCTGGCGGTCTGCGCGGGGCGGCGTGCTCACGGGCAACGGCCGCTGGGCCGACCCCAACCGCCCCGCAGGGCTGGTGAACGCCACTGAGCGGACAGGGCCCGCGGCTAAGGGTCTGAGAAGATGTACCTGCAGCGAAGTAGGAGCCACGTGGTTTGACATGTGTGATCTCAAGTGGACACAGGGAACTGACAAAAAGTCTGGTGGCATTTTAACCGCGTGAGAAGCACACACTAGCCCTGGCTGCTGTGGCTCAGTGCATTGAGCGCCAGCCTGGGGACCAAAGGGTCGCGGGTTCGATTCCCAGTCAGGGCACATACATGCCTGGGTTGTGGGCCAGGTCCCCAGTAGGGGGTGCACAAGAGGCAAAACCACACACTGATGTTTCTCTCCCTCTCGTTCTCCTTTCCTTCCCCCTCTCTCTGAAAACAAATGAATAAACTCTTCAAAAAAACAAAACAAAACAAAACACACACCAAGGGTCCTGGATGTGCCCCGTCGGCACCTGGGTCGACGACGGGCCCTCGTGGAACAATGGACGGGCCCTGAGGGCTCTCGGCTGTGCCGTCCTGCGTGGAATGACCAGGGCTCTGGGCACAGCTCGGCAACGTGGCCCCGCACCGGGCGCGGGGCACAGGCTGACCCAGCAGGCTGCTGGCCCGGGACCGGAAACACCCGATGACTGTGCAGCAGCGGGGGACGCAGGCAAGGTCCCCACGCCGGAGGAGGGAGGGTGCAGGGGCACCTGTGGCCAGAGCAGAGGAAGGGCCCCAAGTGCTTGCGGGGCCTGTGAGGAGTCGGGCTTGGCAGAGGAGACTGTGGCTCCGTCAAGGCCCAGGTCGCCAGGGCCCCCAGGGCCTGCTCTGCCGGTGGGGGCACCGCCGAGAAAGGGGAAAGAAGGGAAGGGCCCTAATTCGTACCCAGCCACCGGGGCTCCCGAGGCTGGCTCTGCAGGCGCCCCTGGCACTCCGGGGGCCTCGCAAACACCAGCTGGCACCTCGGCATCTCCGGCGGGCAGGCCGCTCCTTTCCCCCCCCCCCACCCCGCAGCTCTGCTCCGGGAAGCGGCCCTGGACTCTCGCCGGGAAGGCCCGGGGGGTCCCGGCACCTGGCCTCCTGGCTCGGCACAGCCGGAGGCGGCGCGGCTCCCGGAACCTGTGCCGAGTGGCCTTCCGGCTACTTCTCTCACAAGGAGTTCTCAAGAAACTCTGGGGGATAAACTGCCCCTCGTGGAGTTACCCTGGGCACCTCCGGGGAACCCCTTGGAGGCGGTGGATTCACAAATTCAATGAAATTCTGCACAAAAACCAGCAGGTGCACAGTGCCTGCCACCTTTCTCAAAGTCACCTGCCCAAGGAAGCGTTCTGAGGAGAGACCTGCTCAGGTAAGGGGTTCAAGGGACACGCTTTGGGGGGAGTGCAGGGCCTGTTCCTGGCATTTGGGGGAGGGGGAGCTCAGCCCCTTCCCTGGCCACCGCCACCACAGCAGCTGGTGGCGGAAGGGCGGGCCCCAGAGCTCACTGACTGCGTTCCCCTCCAGGTCTGCAGGAGGGGGGCTGGGTGTCCACCGCATCAATGTTAAGGACTCTGGGTGCAAGTGCGGGTGACATTGCACCTTGGGGCTGCCTTGGGGCACCTTGGCCACTGCGCCCTGCACCCCTCCCGCACACACCTGCACATGCATCCCCCTCACAGCACTCGCAGTAACACGTGGGCCACACCCAGGTCCACAGATCACCCTCCCCAGGCAGGCGGCAGATGCTGTGGACGATGGCCACCTCGTTGCCCCCCCAGTGGCAAGGAAACTTCCAGGAGGGACAGTCCGTCTCTGGGCCCCCGCCAGGGTGAGCCCTCCTCGTTTGCTGCAACCACCACTGTGTGTCCCCTCCCCAGGCAGCCGGGACGGGACAGCTCAGGTGCATCACCAGCACCGAGCCGCCCCCGCTCAGGGCCCTCGGAGGAAGACCTGCCCTGCCGAGAACTCCTGCAAACACAAGGGCCGTGGGCTTGGCCGAGAGGGCAGCCGGGGCCGGGGGTGCCCAGGGGCCGTGGCAGCCCCCCCCACCAGCCTACAGAGAGGGCGCTGACAGGCCGGAGGGCCGCTCCCCGGGCCACCGGAGTCTCCTCACCCGGGAATTCCCAGCCAAGGCTGCCCCATTGTCTGGAGAATTCTTATCGGCACAGGCAGACGGGCCCTTTCACAGACATCTGCCAACCCCCGTCCCGGGCTGGGTCTTGGGTTTCCGCGGGCAGGCGCAGGCCAGTGCCGGGAGACGGGGCCGCGGCGGAGGGCAGGCTCTGTTTACGCGCGGCGGTGCGGGCGCCGGCTCCCACGGGGTCGTGTGTCTTTGTGCACAGGTGGCAGGGGGCCCGGCTCTGCTCGCACGGTGCCTGCCTGCGGCCACCTTCCTCTCGGGTCCTTCCCCTTTCCCTCTCTCTCCTTTCCCTCCCTCCCTCCTGCCTCCCCGCCCTGCTTCCCTCCCAGCAGGTAGTCGGTGCTCTTCCCGCGCCAGCCCCGGGCTGCACGCTGGACTCCCGGCTCTTCACGAGACTCCGGGCCACGGGCGGCTCCCAGAGGAAAGCTCAGCATGCCATCGCCACTCACACAACAGGCGGGACCCGCTGGGGCTCCCCTGCCCTGGCCAGAGGCCCTGGCAGGCTTCCTGGAGGAGGTGACCTATTCCCGACACCCGACATGAGATCAGACGCGTGGCTGCCGTTCGGTCCACGTTTTGGGATTGATCGGAACCTCTCTGACCCCAGGCAGACGCCACGTCACACCCAGCAGAAGGGAGGCCATTCGGGAGGCTGGCCGAGCTCCGGAGAAGGCGAGGGGCACCTGACACGCACCCACGGTGTGAGGAGGCCGCGGAAGGACACATGGCCTGTCCTTGGAAAGGCGGCAGGCCCGCCCTTGCTGGTGGTCACTCCGGTGGCTGGAGCTTCGTCCCACACACCGGGAGGTCGCGGGTTCAGTCCCCGATTGGGGCACTACGGGAGGCAACCCATCGGTGTTCTCTCTCTCGTTGATGTTTCTCTCCCCTGCTTCCTCCCTCGAAAACCAATACACAGATTTGAAGACACATATTTCTTTTTCACAAAGGAAGGAGACAGACCCACAGGGTTCTTCCATAAACCTTGCCTCTTCTTTCCCGAACCAGACCCGCTGACGTAATAAATAAACCAATCGGTGCAGGACAGGGCCGCGCAGCCGCCCGGGCGGCAGTCTGGTGGGAGGAGCTCAGACTGGCCCCCGGACAGGGCTGTGGCCCGAGGCGGGGCTCACCCCTCCCCCAGGGGCACCTGCACATCTGCACCCCCTTCTCCATACATCCCCCGTCCAAACAGACTCACCTGGTACCAGGCAGCCCGCAGAGGACCCTGAACTGGCCCTGAGCAGTGCCGCCTCCGGGCCCGTGTTCCTGCTGTCCCCCTGCCTGGAACTCCGCTCTCCCCCATCCACCCACAGTCCCCCACGTCCCCTCCTCCAGGCAGCCTTCCCGGCCCTTTCCCTGGGCATATCGCTGGGGCCCTCTGGGCCTCTGTTACAACCTTCAGGGTGTGGGCATCATTCACATGCCCCCTCCCATGGTCCCCAGGGACCCAGGAGCTGTCAGAGGCGGGACTGTCCCACCCATGTCTCTGCACCGACAACTACATGGAGTGTGCATGGGCGCCGACACCAGCGGGGTGGGGGGGTGGGGCAGGGGAAGAGCCCCCCCCCCACCCACCGGGCCCCAGGCTCCCGGCCTCCGCGCACCGCACCACACTGAGGGGACCCCTCAGCAGACGCAGCGGCTGCGGAAGGAGCCCAGCTGCCAGCTGCCGCCTGACGTAACTCCCTCCGTTTTCAGACCCAGCGACTCCTCCCCGCAGCAGGGGGCGCTGCTCCTGGGGGCGCCGTCCTCGGGCCAAGCAAGGAGAGAGAGGGCGCGGGGGGCCTGGCCGCTGGGCTTGCCCCCTCCAGGGTGCCCAGTTCGGGACGCCAGGCACACCCCGACGAAGGTGGCCAGAGGGTCGCATCGGTCCCATCCTGATGAGAGACAGCCGCTGGCCTTTCCCCCACAGACACACAGACACGCAGACACACAGACACCCAGACACCCAGACTGGCCTGGGGCAGGGGGTGCCCTGCAGTCCTGCCCCAGCCTGGCTGTGTCCTCCTCCTCTGGGGGCAGGGAGGGGGGGCAGGAGAAGGCTGTGTGACCCCTGACCTTTCAGTGTTGGGGGTCGGGGTACCCATGATGAGATGGGTGCACAGAATGAGGGACCGCACCGCCCTTTGCCCTCACACCCCCCCCACACACTCCACGTACCCTTCCCCCTGCACCCCTGCCTGCCCTGAAACACACGGGGAAACACCGGCCCCTCCCCAAGGCCCCCCCCACCCCGACCCTCCTCCACGGAGCCTCGCTCCAATAGGTACCACTTGATTGTTTCTTTATTTCCTTCTTTTAAAATAACACATTATAGGAATTGGCAGGAAACCCACGAGAGCAGGTACGGGACAACAGCACAGTGTGGGGAGCCTGCTGCCCGTCAGGAAGGACAGGCAGGCCCTGGGCAGAGCCGCGTGCACTCGTGGTCATCGAGAGCACTGGAGAGAGTCCGGGCTGCTGCGTCTGGGGGAGGGTCCGCTGGCTGGGGGAGGGGCGGCAGGCCGGCTTCTCCCGGGTGCCCTTCCGTGGTTTCCCAGGACGCAGGAGCAGGAGCAGGACGGCACAGAAGTCGGGGACGTCCCCAAGGCCACCCTCGGGCTCCACCGAGAGTGAGGGATGCTCCGAGCCGGCGGGTGGCTGCCGCACTCCGTCGTGGTCAGAACCCGGGTCCACGTCACACCCGGAGGGTTGTCACCGGGGAGGCGCCCGAGTCCCAGTGTCCGGGCTCCGTGGCTCCATCCGCGGACACGGCCGACCACCCATGTGCCCGGCCCCCCAGTTCCAGACCCCCCAGATGCGGGGCGGGTGCTCCCTGGCTCCCCGCGCCCATCCCAGGTCACACTGTTGGACAGCGGTGGCCCACGCACGGCCCCAAGGTCCCAGGGACACGGGGCACAAGGATCAGGCAGACCCGGAGATGCACCCCCCACCCCACCCGGGGCCAATGTGGCGATGTGGCAGTTTCTCCTGCGGGTCACCGGGCATCAGGGTGGGAAGCGAGAGAAGCAGCCATGGTGGCGTTTGTCCTCGAGGGTCAGGCTCGACCCCCTGCTGCGCCCGCCGCCACCTCCCCGGAGGGGCCAGCCTCATCACTGGCTCCCCAGCCAGGAGCTCCTGCCCCACCCAAGCAACCTCAGCCCAGCGGTCCGCTCTGGGGGAAACTGAGGCAGCTGTGTTCCCTCCAGGAGGGATGAAGATTCATCTCGTCCCCCCAGGAGGCGGGAGGAGACAGAGATGCGAGGTGGCCCTGGGCGGCAGGGCGGGCTGCGAGGTCGTGACATCTGCCCTCGTGGTGCCCCCCGAGCCCCACGGCTCACCCCCACGTCCTCCTGCAAACGTATTCATAAAGGGCTGGGAGCACAGAAATTCTCAGAGCAAGACCCACCCCCGGGATCGCTCACTCCAACAGGGGCCCCCAGAACGTGGGGACGGACTGGCCCAGGTGGCCTGTCTGTCCCCCGACGTGGGGGGTGAAACGTGGCCAGCACAGCCCTGGCCAGCCTGGGTGGGGGGCGTGGGGGCCCGCCCTGCCCTGGGGGCCCTAGTCCTCCTTGGGTTTGCGGGGCTGGCGCCGGGCCAGCCTGTAGTCGACGTAGGTCCCCAGGCAGGACCACAGGAGGAAGCGCGCCAGCAAGATGACGACCAGCAGGACCAGGAGGGGGTCGGGACCCGCGCTGCCCCCGAGCCAGGAGTCCATGCCGCCTGCCAGGGCGGGCGGGCGGCCCCAAGCACGGCAGCAGGGACGTGGCCCGGACCGCAGCGGGCCCCGGGTTCCCGGCCAGGCCGTGCCCAGCGCCCACAGCGGGGCCAGGGGCCTGCACCGGGTACTCAGGATAGCTGGGCGGCCGCGAGGCCCACACCCGCCCCCCTCAGGGACGGCCCTGTCCTCTCCGCAGCCCCCCCCCAAGGCTCCGGCCCAGGGCCTCCCCGGCTGGCCGGCCGGCGGGAGGACAGCGCGGGGACGGCGAGCGGCCGCCTTGGTCAAGAGGCCCGCGTGCCATTCATCCAGAAGGAGCCGCTCTCCGGGCCGACAATGGCCGCATTGTGGGGAGGCCCGGGGCTGGCGACTGCGGGCCACCCCCCTCCCGAGCCCCCCGTGCGCCGGCGCTGACGTAATCCGCTAACGTCTCCGGCGGCAGCTGCTGGGCGAAGCTGGCCACCTTCTCCGGCTCTTTCAGCCGCCCACGCCCGCTCTTCCGGCCCCCCGAGACAATCGGGCCCTTTCTCTCCCCAATTAGCTATCACGCGGGAGGCCGGCGCTGTCCAGCGGCTGCGGTCCCTGCAGCAGCAGCAGCAGCAGCAGCAGCAGCAGCAGCAGCCCAGGGTGGGTGGGGGCAGGGAGGCGCCAGGGCCGCGGCGGCGGGGACGCAGGCAGAGAGCTGTGCAAAGGCAAAGGGGGAGAGAGAGGGGGGAGGGTGAGGACAGGCCCCTCGGGCCGAGGGAGGCCCCGGACGTGGCTCCATGAGCACAGGGGCCACGACAAAGCAGAGTGGGGGTCCCGGCGCCTCCTCCCTGCCCACCCACGCCCGCAGACCCGTGGCCTAAGCTGGACAAGACAGTCCTGTGGGGTCCCCTCACATCCCTCACAGTGACCCTTGTCCCCAACTAGGGCCCCCTGCAGACTCGCTGGGTGACCTTGGGTAAGCAGCCGAACCCCTGGGGGCCACGGACTCCCTGTCAGAAAGGGAGGCCAGCGGCAGGTGTCTGCCCGGAGGTCGTGGAGAGGACAGGGGGGGCAGGTGCTGTCCTGAGAGCGGCACCGAGTCTGGGCGAGAATCTGCGGCCCCTCTGCTCCCCCAAAGAGGAGGCCCTGAGATGCGCCTGCCCAGCCTTCTCTGCCCCACACGCACACACACAAGCACACGCGTGTGCACATGCAGACGTGCGCACACTCCTCTACGGACTCGGTCCGCCACCAAGTTCAGAGCCAGGCTCTCTGTGGGTGTAGCCACGGTCTGGGCCCCTCGTCCAGCCTCCGCCCCGTGGCCCCTGAACACAGAGGGGGCCCCCGGGAGGAGAGGGATGTCTGGATGCCCGGTCCTGGGGGTCCGACCACCTTCTCAGTCGCGAAGTGGTCCGACCCCCAGGCCCTGAGCCAGAGAGCGAGTTCGGGGGGGCCCCCAGGGCCGCGGGCCGCCTGAAGCCGGTCCGGGGCTCCTCTGCCCACAGAATGACCACACGCTCCCGCCCGGCCTGTCCGGAGGGCTCTGAGGAGTGAGTGCGAAGGCTTCGGCAGCGAGCACACCTTCGGGTGAGCCACGGAGCCAGACCACACGCTCCCCTGTGGCTTCCGTGGTGACAGTCCCCGCGAACCCCAGACTGGCGCCCAGCGCCCCGCGGCCCCCGGGCCCGGCGGCTCAGTGCCACTCTCCGTCGGAGGTCCCCCTGGGAAGCGTGCTGGGCCCTGTCTGCTCCCTGGACGGCAGCCGGACACAGGGAGGGAGCCGCCGACCGTGGACCTGGACGGGTGTCCAGCGCGTGGACCGAACCACACTCTCAGGACACGTGTGGTTCTCCCCGGGTTTGCCCGCCAGGCGCAGAGGGTCAAGGACCACTCCATCATCGCGGGGGGGCTCCAGCGAGGACGCGGCTGCTGCGGGGGCTTCCAGAAGGTTGCGGAGACCCCTCCGCAGGTTCACTGGTTCCCTCCCCGGAGACGCCACCAGCCTGCACAAGGGGAGGTCCCCGGGACAGCAGCGGTGAGCTGGGGGGGACCAGGAAGAGGCTGAGTCCCCGGCAGCGTGGCACTCACCTGCGCGAGCGGGGTCTCCGGTGGGCGTCCTGGGGGCGCCGCGGCACCGGGCTCACGCACGGCCGAGCCCAGCTCCTGGCCTCTGGCCCTGCAGGCGGGGACCGGGCGGCCCCGGATAAATCTGTTTGCCGAGCGCAGGAAGTCAGCCGCGCCCCGTCACGTGGCGTCGGGCAAGGAAACCCAGGGTCACGGACACACCCCCCCCCCTTCCTGCTCAGATGTCCCCGGGCCCCGGGACTCCGCGAGGCCAAGGTCAGCAAGCCCTTCAGGACAGGCAGTGCATGGCCCTCCTGCCCTGGACAAGGTCAAGGCTGTCCCCAGGGCCGCCTTCTGAGGAAGGCCCCCACGGTGCAGGCGCAGGGGCCTTAGGCAGGCAAGAGGGCCGTCGCCCACAAGGAAAGGTGATTAAGTGACGATGAAGCACAGCAGGTGGCCCCGCTGGCTCAGCACCCACAGTCTCCGTGGGTGGGCGCCAGGGGCTCCCCGCTCACGGGAAGGAAACGCCCCAAGTCACCCCAGCACTGGCAGCGATGGCGGGTGCGGGTGCCATCCGGGTTCCATGCACACGCCTAGGGCCCCTCCGCCTGTCCCTGCGGCCCACCTCCGGCGCCCACGTCCCTGGTCTCCCAACACAGCTTCCTGGACAGGGGGGCGTCCTTGGCTGCAGTGGCCTCCCCGACACCCAGGGGCCAGTGCCCGGGGATTTCATCCCCCCCCTTCAGCAGCCCTTTGCTGAAGACTGACCCCATGGGACAAGAGTGCTCGCCGGGAGGCAGGACAAAGGGGAAGGCCAACCCCGGCCCCCGAGTTCCCCTCCAGGCAGCAGCGAACTTGGGGCCTGAAGTCGCACCTCTTCTTGGCCTTCTCCTGCTCCCCCCCTGCCCTCCCCACTCCTCCCTCCCGCTTCTCCTGGGTGTTCTTCCTGGGTGCTCTTAAAGCACCCGCCAGAATGCAACCCGTGACCAAGTTGACGAAGATGACCCGCGTCCCCAGGGCTGAGCAGGAGGAGGCTCCTGCGCTGAGTCGCAGAGGACAGACTGGGGACCCGGGTTAAATCCAGGCGTGCCAAGGGCGGGGAGGTCTCCCTGCGCCCAGACGTCCCGCCGATGCGGCAGTGACCTGCACGCGCCCCCGGATGGGCCCTTTCCACGGAGGAGGTCCGAGGGGGAGGGTGGGGGATGGAGGTGCAGCAGCCGGGCCCTGCCCAGCACCAGCCCCGCCGCCAAGGTGGCAGCGCCAGAACAAGCCCCGGGGGCCCCCCCGTGCGAGCTGCTGGCCGGGTCCTCGGAAGCCGGGGAGTCTCCGTCCAGGTGTCCCCGCCACACTCTGGGCCTTGGCTCGGCCCCTCCCCGTGTTCCGAACCAGAGGCCCAGGCTGAGAAAAGCACTTTTCGGGGGAACCACGGCCCCAACGCCACGAGGCCCCGGGGGCCTGGCCGGCCCACAGGCAGGAGTGGGGAGCACAGCCGAGTCCCCTCGTGCCGTGCCCACCTGTCCCATCACCCCGGCTTCTGGGCAGCTGCCTGGTTTGGGATTTTGCTTCCATGACAATGTGAACTTCCGGTGTTTCTGGACCGTGAGCTCCCACCAAATCCCCGGGGGCCACGCAGCTCCTGGCCCCGGGAATCGGTCGGGGAGTGGGGGGAGGGGTTCCGTGCCCCGGTGTGGAGAAGCCGAACTAGAGGAGGCGCACGTTTCTGAGAGGCCGGGTTTGCAAAACCACCAGCACCAACTGCACTGAGACCCAGGGTCTCAGGAGCTTGGAGTCGTCCTGAAAATCGTCCCCGTGTGTGTGTGTGTGTGTGTGTGTGTGTGTGTGTGTGCGCGCATGTAGGTGTGTACGCGTGCACACAAGCAAGACACGCTGCTGTCACAAAAAACAAAGCGGCGGCTGCGGAAGTGCACGCGGCAGAGCGCGGCCGGCGCGTCGTGCCCTCTGCCGAGACGGGCGCCGGTCGCCGGGGAAACCGAGACCACGGAGACCGTGGTGCTGACGGGCACCCGGTGGCCTCTGCTGCGAAGGCTGGTGGCCCACGTGCCTCTCCTCCAGGAGCACCGCGCCTCCAACCCCAGCACAGCCAGGCTCCGCCGGGATGGACTCCCGCCCCGCCGGCCGGCACACTTCCAGGTCTCCCACGTGTTGGTGTCTGGAAGGTCCCTTCTTCCTGCACCCCAGACCGATTACGGTCCCCCGGTGAGGCGAGTGGGGACAGGGGGAGCGCCTCCCCGTGGAGGGGGGGGCGGTGGGGCCCCTCCCACCCGAGGGCTGTCCCTGAGAGGCGGCCCGAGCGGGTGGGCAGGGAGAGGACGGGGACCACACACTGGAGGGCGGCGACGACGCTGCCGCCCGTGGCCGTGCAGAGCCCGGATGCAACTGCGCTCGGAGCCGCCCGACGGCCGGCCAGGGTCGCCTCGTCGGAGTTTTCGCTGACCTCGCCTGAGCGCCCCTCCTCGGGCGGAGAGGCCCTTTCAGGGTGAGAGGCAACTACACATTGATGTTTCTCTCCCTCTCTTTCTCCCTCCCTTCCTTCTCTAAAAATAAGTAAATAAAATCTTTAAAAAAAGAGAAACCTACTGAGTGGAGAGGGAAAAACCCCCAGCAGCTCCCACACACACGACCTCGCTCTGCGTCCCTCGATTCCTGAGTGAGAAGGGACTTGGGGGGCAGGGACCGGGTCGGAGGGACGCCCCCAGGCCTGCTGAGCCCGAGCCGAACGGCAGCTCCGAGGGGAGGTCCTTCGGATCAGGCCGTGCGCCGGCAGGTGACGGGCATGAGGGCCCGGTGACATGCGTGGGCCCTGCAGGTGGCCTGAGCCATGGGGAGACCCGCCTGTCCCCTTGGAACCCCCAAGGACCTTGTGTTCACGGGCCTCCCACGGCCCCCGTCGTCAGCGGTGGGTGACAGTGACCAGTCACCGGCCAGAGGAGGAGGCCACACAGGCCAGCTTGGACTAGTCACCGGGCGTGGCCAGCTCACAGGAGAGGGGCCGGGACCCCGTCAGGAAGCACAGCAGCTGCCGGCGTCCTCCCGGCTCCGAGGCCCACACGGCCTCCGAGGCTCAGGGACCCTCTGCCCAGCGCCCTCCCCTCCGCTTCCTGCCTGCTCTGCCGCTTCCTGCACGCAGGGCTGGCCCACGGCGCCGGGGCGCGGAGCGCGGGGTGGAGCCCGCGACCGAGAAGCCCCAGGAGGGGAGGCCAGGTGAGCGTCTGAAGGGAGCGTGACTGGCCGAGAACGTTCCAGAACCGACGGGAAACATCGGCCACAGATTCAGGCACCCCCCAGCACCCAGCGGAGGATGAAGGCAAAGCCACCCGTCCCCGGAGACGCCCCAGGGAGACCATGGGGTCCCGACGAGGGAGAGGCCGTGCGCGCACCTGGGATCCAGCGAGGTCCCGGGCACGTGGGCTCAGGTGGCAGAGAAACGGCCTTGACAGGAGGAGTTATATCGCACCTGTCACAGAAAAGCGACTCGGACAGCGTCGGAGAAGTGTGCGAAGTGGGGTTTTATTCTCGCACTCGGACCCAGGGGAGACCGTCTCCAAACTCTGGGCCCAGGGCTCAGGCGGGGGCTGGCTTGTATTCCTGCTGCAGAAGTGGAAGGTGCCGGGGATGGGGGGCGGGAGCCGTTTTCCAGAAGCCAGGTGCAGGGGTTAGCGTGCGGCCTTGAGATCACCACTCTCTAAAAATGGCCACTGCCCAGTGTGTCCTGTTGCACACCCACGGCTCCAGGGAGGGCAGGACAGGGGTGGCGAGCCCGTCGCACCCCCTGGGTCCCCTGGGGAGGCACCTGGGCCGTCAGGGGACGGGATGAGCGAGCCGTTGGGACACGTCGACTCCCCTCTCCCGGCCCCAGAGGAAGCCGACTGCCCCGTCCTGTAAACCCAACCAGAAATGTCCCCGCAGAAGCCTGTGCCGGGGTCTTCTGCCGGTGCGTCTGCGAAGGCACGCGCTCGGTCAGTTACCCCCTTATTGAGCAAGTACCTCCCTCTCTCTGGGCCTCAGGAGCCTGGAAAAGAGAGACTAGTTTCTAGCTTGAATTGAGCATCTGCTATGTGCCAAACGCTGCACGAATCCATCAGGGGTTGCCTGAAACTCTCTAGAGAGGCTCAGCCCACGGGGGTTCATTTTCCTCACTGACAAGGGCTGGGGCCCCACGCCATCCCGGTCTAAATGCATCTGACCCCGGCATCTTGACAGCGTAGTTTCAGCCTCATGGCCCAAGAAGGCTGCTGCTCCTGCAGCCCTCAACCCAAACTCCAGGAAGAGGAACACCAGGAGGAGGCAGCCGTGCTCGTATCAGGAAAGCAGGAGCTTCCCAGGGAAGCTCTAGTACACGCCCACTCCCACCCCCTTCGGCCAGAATGGCGCCACTGGGCCCCCGACGCCAGAGCCGCGGGGAAGCTGGGGTCCTCGCTGGGCCACGCGCACGTGGTTTTGCGTTCATTCCCACGAGGCGGTTCTTGGTGACCAACTCCAGCGCAAAGAAGTGAAAGGACTCGCGTCACATCCCCAGAGCTGGGGCCCGAGTCCACGCGCACGTCCGTCGGCGAGATCCTTCTCGGAACCGCTGGCCCCGGCTCTGCCGGCCTCTCCGGAGGGGAAGCTAACGCTCACTTTTACTTTTCCCCCAAATGACCCTTCCAACACGCCCTTCCTGTTCCTGGGGGACCTTGACGGAGCCTGACGCACCTGCCCCGCTGCTGGACGCTGTGACCCCGTGACCCCGTGACCCTTGCGACCCCTGGAAGAAGCTCCTTTCCTTGCGGGGCCCATGGCCTCGGAGGCCCGTGGCCCGTGGCTTGTCACAGCCTCGGGACCCCAGACCTCGAGGGCCGGCCGTGATGTTGCCTGTCGATGCCTTACCCGGAAGGACCCGTACCGAGGGGTGATGGCATGGCCGGCGGTGGAGCACACGCGGCTGCAGACAGCACAGACCCTGCGCGAGCCCCGAGCGGCCGGCCCCTGCCGCGTGGGAACCGGGCCGTCGCCGGGAGTACACCCCCCTGGAAGAGCTTTGCTCCCCTGGCTCCCTCTGGGCCCCCCCAACCCTGGTTTCCGACAGTTCGCGCCAGGTAATCTGAAGTCACAGGTCGGCCAGGCCGAGCCTGGAGGACGCGGCTCATGTTTCCGAGCAGGT